CCTCTCAGAAACCTCTCGGAGGCTTTTCTCAGAAGCCTCTCAGAAGCTTCTCGGAACCTCTTGGAAACTTCGCAGAAGCCTCGCCGAAGACTACCGGAAGCCTCTCGCAAGGCTATGAGAATTTTCCCGAATCCGAGTGATTCCCCAGGAATCCAAAGGATTTCCTCCGGACCCCATACGATGTTTTCTCAAAATCCTCAGAATTTCCTCCAGGAAGCAAAAGAAACCCAAAGAGTCCAGAATTTCCTCAGGAATCCAATCGTGTCCAATCGTGTCCTCGAACATCCCAAAAAAGAATCCTGAAGATGTCCTACGAGATTCCTTCGGAATTCCTCCAGGATCCCTCCAGAGTCCTGTGGGATCCTAAGGAACACGAAGGAATGCAGAGGATCCCCTAACAAGTAGCGCATCCTAGTATTTCGACAGATGCACAAGCTTCTCAGAAATCGCTAGAACTTCAGACTGCCTGGTTGGGATTGGTACAATTTGCTTAGGTCCTGCTTCGAAGTTGCCTGGATTATTCCAAGTCGCTTGGCATCCGTCCCACTCACAGGCGGACTCCACCTACAAAAGCTGGAGAGGTGCTCGTGAGTTTTCGCTGGGGAGCTGCGGAACTGCTGCCCCATGCTGCATCGTCCTGGTCCTGTCACCCTCGATTACGATGACCCCGTCCTCGTCCTCCCCCTCTCCATCCTCCCTCCTCCTCCTCCTCCTCCTCCTCACCCTCCTTCTCCCGACCCCCTCCGGCCAACCACTGCTGCTACTCCCTCCGCCTCCCCCCCCCTCCTGGAGAGCCCACACCCCGCCCCCTTGCTCCCCTGACCGCCCCCCTCTGAGCCTGGAGGACGGAGCGCGGCTTTCTTGGACAGGCGACTGACCCCTCCCACGGCGTGCGGGGCGCGCCAGGGGCAGCGCCCGAGGCGCCGCCAGGGGAGCCCAGCGCAGATCCAAGAGAATCCGCGCGGGCACCAGAAACCCTATGCTCGTGAAGCTCGTTCTTATTCTTTCATGGCATCACTCTTACGATTCTGAAAACTAATAGTATTCAGCTTGTTTCGCTTTACCTTCTTCTTATGTGTCTTATTAATTTGCTTCTTCTTATTATTCTTATCATTAGCACTCTTATTATTATAAGTGTTCGTATGATGAATTTGATTATCCGACTTACAGCGACGACCCCCCGCCGCCGCTACACCTCCCCGCCTCGCCCCAGTCTCGCCCGCCCGCACGCCTCCCCCCGCCTCGCCCGCCCGCTTCCCCCCGCCATCTCCCCCGCCCCGCCGCTCGCTGCCTCCCCCGCCTCGCCGTGCCGCCCGCCCGAAACCTTCGGGGCAGGAACGCCTGCCTGGCGTGCCGCCGCGGCGGCCCCGGCGACACGCCGCGCCGTGGAGGCGGACGGCGTGTCGCTCCGCTCCGCGCGGGGCGGGAAGCCGGGCGAGGCTCGGGACGTTGACGCCCGGGGACTGGCGCGCGGTTGGCGTGTCGCGCCGACGCGCGGTGGGCCAGAACAGGCGGCACGACGCGCCGGGCAAACGTTCCCGAGCATATGCTCAGCATGCCGCCCTGTGCTGCCCCCCTAAGACCTTACCTTTAGCATGCGGGCCCCGCCCCTAGAAGAAGGTCCGGGATCCAGGGTCAAAAGTCCACCCACAGAACTCTGCTGGGGTGCGTTTGGGCTAGCATCTCGAGGCGAATCCAGCCGTGGCCACGAGGAGGCTCAGAGAGGGAACAAATCGTCAGAAAGCCTGGCTCCTCGAACCTCGAGCCTTGATCAACCGATCGATCGAGGCTCGAAGTTCGGAGGTCCCTCCGCTCCTCCTAGAAGAAGAGGAGCGCCATAAGCATAAAGCTGTTGGCGCTCCGCGCGGATTTCTTGGATCTGCGCTGGGCGCGCGGAGCGCGCCAGGGGCGGCGCCTGAGGCGCCGCCGGGGGGGGCCCAGCGCGGATCCGAGAAATCCGCGCGGAGCGCCAGAAGTTTGTCTATGGCGCTTTCTTCTTCGACTCTGGCCCGACAGGGGGGGGGGGAGGGGGCCGAGCGCTCGGCGGGCAACGCAGATTTGGGCCGCGGTGCGGCGCGAGGGAGTCGGCCGCGCTGCGGCGCTCAGCCCACGGGCAGCTCGGCGGCCTGGCTGAGGCAGCTCGGCGGCCCGGCTGAGGGACAACCTCAGGGGGGGAAGGGCCTCCTCCTCCTCCTCCTCTTTTTCTTCTTCTTCTTCTTGTTATTATTTCTCTTATTATTATTATTATTATTATTATTAGTACTAGTAGTAGTATTATTATTATGACTAGTATTATTATTACTACTAGTATTATTATTACTAGTATTATCATTATGATTATTACTAGTAGTATTATTATTAGTAGCATTATTATGACTAGTATGATTATTATTATTAGTATTATTATTATTAGTGTTATTAGTAGTAGTAGTAGTATTAATAATATTATTATCATTATTATTGTTATTATTATTATGTTTATTATTATTCTTCTTATTATTCGTATTATTCTTATTCTGCTTCTTATTATTATTATTATTCTCCGTTTTGTGCTTATTATTATTCTTCTTATTCTTATTCGTATTATTAGTATGCTGGTTCTTCTTAGTCTTCTTATTACTTTTATTAATATTAGTATCATTCTTATTATTAGTAGTATTAATATTCTTATTATTTTGCTTAGTACTCGTATGATTATTATTATTATGATTCTTCTCCTTATTATTATTAGTATTATCATCATTCTCCTTATTATTATTAATATTACTATTATTATTCGTACTATTCTTACTAGTATTATTCTTCTTATTCTAAGTATTACTATTCTTCTTATTCTTCATATTCGTCGTGTTCTTACTAGTATCAGTATTATTATGATTAACATTAGCAGTTGTACTATTATTAGTAGTAGTATTAATTCTTATTCGTATTATTGCTATAATTATTATGGTTATTATTATTAATTATTATTACAATTATAATATTACTATTACTATTATGAGTATTATTATTATTATTCGTATCAGTATTCGTCTTATTATTCTTCTTAATGTTATTATTATTAATAGTATTCTTCTTATTACTAGCATTCGCATTATTATTAGCATTAGTCTTCTTATTATGAGTCTTCTTCTTCGTATTATTATTCTGAATAGCCTTAGTATTCTTAATATTATTAGTCGTATTATTATTCTTCCTCTGATTATTAGTATTCTTATTGTTCGTCTTCTTCTTCTTATTCGTAATATTAATTTTCTCCTTATTAGTATTATTATGATTATTATTCTTCGTCCTCCTCCTCCTCCTCCTCCTCCTCCTCCCCCTCCTCCTCTTCCTCCTCCTCCTCCTCCTCCTCCTCCCTCCTCCTCCTCCTCCTCCTCTCCTCCTCCTCCTCCTCCTCCTCCTCCTCCTCCTCCTCCTCCTCTCCTCCTCCTCCTCCCCTCCCCCTCCCCCTCCCCCATCCCCCTCCCCCTCCCCTCCCCATCCCCCTCCTCCTCCTCCTCCTCCCTCTCCTCCTCCCCTCCTCCTCCTCCTCTCTCCTCCTCCTCCTCCTCCTCCTCCTCTCCTCCTCCTCCTCCTCCTCTCCTCCTCCTCCTCCTCCTCCCTCCTCCTCCTTCCTCCTCCTCCTCCTCCTCCTCCTCCTCCTCCCCTCCTCCTCCTCCTTCCTCCTCCTTCCTCCTCCTCCTCCTCCTCCTCCTCCTCCTCCTCCTCTCCTCTCCTCCTCCTCCTCCTCCTCCCTCCTCCTCCTCCTCCTCCTCCTCCTCCTCCTCCTCTACTCCTCCTCCTCCTCCTCCCTCCCTCCTCTCTCCTCTCCTCCTCCTCCTCCTCCTCCTCCTCCTCCTCCTCCTCCTCCTCCTCCTCCTCCTCCTCATCCTCCTCCTCCTCCCCTCCTCCTCGCCTCCTCCTCCTCCTCTCCTCCTCCTCCTCCTCCTCCTCCTCCTCCTCCTCCTCCCTCCTGCCCCTGCCCTGCCCCCCTGCCCTGCCCCTGCCCCGCCCCTCCCCCTCCCCTTCCCCCTCCCCCTCCCCCTTCCCCCTCCCCCTCCCCTCCCTCCCCTCCTCCTCCTCCTCCTCCTTCCTCCTCCTCCTCCTCCTCCTCCTCCTCCTCCTCTCCTCCTCCTCCTCCTCCTCCTCCTCCTCCTCCTTTTCCTGGGAAGGGACAACGTTAGGCGGAGAGCATCTGGGCCCTCCAGGCCTTGTGAGGAGTGTTCTGGAGGCCGTGGGGACCTCCTCGGAAATCCTAGGGGCACCTTGGACCAGGGGCGGTTCTAGCAACACGCGACAGATCGGCCCGACAGCCCACCTCGCCCAGGAGCGTGCGGATTCGCTAAGGATCGGAGGCATATCGCCGATCTGTCGGCGATGCATCGCCGGACAGCCCAATCCCCTCCCCCGAATTCGCGGCCCCAGACCTGCGTAGGTCCCAGGCGAGCACCACGGCTGCGCTGTGGAGCTTCCAGGCGACTGTCGCGGCCTCCTCGGCGGGCCCGGAGATCCTGGCGCTGCAAGACTGTCGCACGGGGCGCTTCCGCCCGGCTGTGGGCCCGGAGATCCTCGCGGATCGATCCGGCTCGAAAAAGGACGCAGAAAGATCAGGTCTAGGGTTCCGTTCGTGATTTCTCGCGTTGTTGCCATGTTCTCGCAAGCGTCAGATCTCTGGGGAGGCGGGGGAGCCAGACCGCCTGCTCGCGTCGTGAAGAAGAGATCGCAGCAGGAGATGTTGGACGAGTGTCGGCCTCCAGCCGGCGGCGAGCGGGGGGGGGAAGCGAGAAGGAGGAAGCCTTCGCAGAAGGCGGCGGGGCTTTTCAGATGTGCCCAGGTCTTCCGAAGAGCGTCCTGTGTCTTCGGGGAAGGTTCAGAGAAAAGTCATCAGAGGGCCAGTGGAACTCCGAGCCTTCTGAGGAGGGCCTTCTGAAGAGCGTCCTGCGTCTGGAGAGTGTGTCCTGCGTCTGCTGGGGACGCTTCAAAAAGCTCGCAGGGGGCCCGTGGAGCTCCGAGCCTTCTGGGGAAGGCCTGCTCCTGGTCGCTTGCCCCCCTCGCCCGCCGCCGCTTCCTTTTACGAGTACTAATTGGAGGGCAAGTCTGGTGCCAGCAGCCGCGGTAATTCCAGCTCCAATAGCGTATATTAAAGTTGCTGCGGCCAAAAAGCTCGTAGTTGGATTTCTGCCGAAGACAGCGGGTCCGCCCTCTGGGTGAGTATCTGGTTCGGCCTGGGCATCTTCTTGGAGAACGTAGCACGCACCAGGCCCTGGGGCCGTCCGAAAGACGACTCGGGCGGAGAAGCAGGGGCCCCGGGGGCGGGGGTCGAGACCTCTGCAGGGGCCCACGCTGCGAGAGGGAGAACCCAAAAAAAAAGACGTCGGGGGCCTGGGGAGCGAGGGGGGGGGGGCACGGCGGAGAGAGAGAGGGGGGGGCGGAGATGCCTTCCCACGGCCTACGGCACCGAAGCGTAGACTCTCTGTTGCAGGGCAAGAGGGCCCAGACTCCATGCGCAACCACGCGAGCGAGCACTCCAATGAGCAGCGGTGGCACTGAAGAGTTGAACGTGCGAAGGCAAGAAGTTGTACGAACGGTAACATGCGGTAGCAGTGAAGCTTATAGCTCCCCAAAGACCCACGGATCGAGTGCGGGACGATCTTTGCATGAGCCTCGCCGTGGCTACGCGCACACTCATCTTAGGCAATCAAGCAATCATACTGACGGAGGGCGGTTCCTTGTCAAAATGGGGATCTGGTCCGAGGCTGCCCCAATCTTAATACCGAGCTTCACCAGTTTGCAGCAGCTAGATTCGGGGGCCGCTCGAGGGTAATCTTGGCCCTGGCGGTTCGGAGGGGCCCGGAAAAACAATTGTTCGGATCGCGTAAAACGGATTTCTTTTCCGGGCCAGCCTGATGACATCATTTGGGCCGCACGTGCTGTGGGCTGCGTTTGGGGCCACGCAACTGGCGTCCGACTCCCCCCGGGGCCGCCCCCACCAAACCGGCGCGAGGGGCCGGGGAAACGCCCCCCCGACGCGCTCCCAAAAAGGTTCAGACGACGACAACGACGGAGGGGAGGGGGGAGGGGGAGGAGGATCTTCTGCGGACAACCCCCGCCCCAGTGGTGTCCCTCGTGCCGCGCGCCGTGCGCCCGAAACAGAGGGCAGAAGAACCACCTTCGCACGGCGAGAGCACTGGATAAGTCGGCTACACGCAAGAGTGGCCCTATGGGACGCACAGAGATATACGAATACTATACGTACTCCTCGGAGGCGCGCGTCCGACCCGAACATCTAGTATACCCATCTTGTAGTATACCCTTTCCCGAGCGGTGTGGCCAGAAAGCGCGCGTCGCGACACATGTACTATAAGATTTCTCCGTGCGCGCGTCGCCCCTGGAGGGGCGACGCACATATAGTAGAAGTATGTTGGGGTGACGCCGACTTTCGTGCGCGGCCACGTGGGGGCCATTGGGGAACACCACGAGGGTGGTGCCCTTTCAAAACGGGGCTCTCGCTGGAGACCCCCTCAATGATTGCCCGACGTTTCAGTGTGTGTACCCCCTACGCGGGGGGAGGGCGATTATTTTCCGAAACGGGGCTCTCGCTAGAGACGTACTGTTTTGTTGTTTAAGACCGGCTGCTTGACACTGCGCACAGTGCTACCCGGATGGAGGGCGCTTGTTTTCAAAGCGGAGCTGTCGCCGAACACTTCCTGGAACCGTGTGGCCCCACCGCGTCGCAATCCTCGTGTCGGCGGTGGACACACCTCCCTTTCGCAAACCACCCTTTCGTGAAAACGGCCTGGCCTGGGACCGAACCTGCCGACCTGGACCCGCCAGCATGACGGCCGCGACGCCCCCGGGCGAACCGAAAACGGCCCGCTCGCCAATCGACGCGTCAGGGCAGGAGGTCTGCCCACCCCCGATCTGCAGCTCGAGGGATGGCGGGCAGCCCCCCTCGTCGAAGCAGATCTCCCGCCCGCGTGGGACCCTCCAGAGCGCTCGCCTCTCAACGGGGGCGCCTCCCGCAGCGCAGAGATAGGAGACCTTGGACCGGAGTGCGTGCGACAGCACTGCTGGTAAGCCGTGTGCTCGCCCTGGTCAAACGTACATCCCCCTCCTCCTCCTCCTCCTCCTCCTCCTCCTCCTCCTCCTCCTCCTCCTCCTCCCCCTCCTCCTCCTCCTCCTCGTTGCCACACCGTCTGCGCATGGTCTGTCTCCTGGGCCAAGTAGATAATTGATGATTAGATTTGTTTGTTTCTCTCTCTCTCTCTCTCTTCTCTCTCTCTCCTCTCTCTCTTCTCCTCTCTCTCTCTCTCTCTTTCTCTCTCTCTCTCTCTCTCGTTTCTCTCCCTCTCTCTCTCTATATATATGTAGATATATATATATATATATATATATATTTGTGTTCCCTCTCTCTCTTCTCTCTCTCCCTCTCTCTCGCTCTCCCTCTCTATCTCTCCCTCTCTCTCTCTCTCACTCTCACTCTCTCTCTCTCTCTCTCTTTCTCTTTCTCTCTCTCTCTCTCTCTCTCTCTCTCTCTCGTTATCGCGCTCTCCGCACCCATCCGTCCTCCCTGACTACTTTCGGTCGCCTCCAGGGTCGTGTTCACGCCCTGCGCCGCGCTGTGATTCATGAGGGCGGTGTCGGGCAGCACGGCCTCGCCGACCATGCAGGACCGCTTGCGAGCCATCTCGTGCCGTCCGGCGACCTCCCTTCGCATCCCCGCGGGCGAGGAGAAGCGAGGGCAGTGCTGCATCACAACAAGAAAACTCGCCGATGGTGCGAGGAGGAGCTAGCCGTCGGGTGCGCCATGCGCTTTCTCGACAAAATAAGGACCACCACCCAATGGCCCCACGACGTGAGACACAAGACCACCGGACAAGCCAGGAACGTCGCACGAGACTACGGCAAAGCGAGCGAGCGAAGAGATGAAAGAGGGAAAAAGGGAAGGCGGCGGACGGCAAGCAGGAGGCGGCGGAGAAACACAAGAAGCTCAAAGCATGGAAACGATGAGACCCAGAAAGAAGGGACAAAAGCGAGGATGAGACAGCAGAACGAGCAGAGCAGCCGATGGATGGAAGAGTGGGGTTGGGCACTGGCTGCTGGAGGGAAGCGACCTGGAAAAGATCCACATTGCTGGAACGCCCAGTGGAGCACCCTGATCCGCAATGCGAGGCACCAGACGATTCGCCGTATATGGCCATGAGGTCAAAATGAGGCCAAGTTGCGTGAAATTGAACGCCCAGAGCGATGATGCCGATGCCTGGGTGTGCTACAGATGCTGCCGATGAGAAGACGGCACGCCTGAGTTGCGTGAAATTAAACGCCTAGAGCGATGATGCCGATGCCTGGGTGTGCTACCGATGATGCCGATGAGAAGACGGCACGCCCCGAAAGAATATGAAAGACCTTGGTCTGAGTACCAGTCAGCACAGGAGGCCAGGAGACGAAGAGAGTGCATGCTGGCAGATGGATTTTGTTGGGGCTCAACTTGCAAGCGCGCCGTCCAGTCTGCATCCAAGCAAAAAAAAAAAAAGCAGGAGCAACATGCTGCCTGGGAGATGGTTGGCCGGCGGCGAGCCCAGGGGGGCAGTAAGAGGGGGCAGCCCCTTCTCAGGAGGCGGAGGGTCTTCTCGGAATCCCCCGCGCCTCCCGAGGGGCCTTGTGAGCCTTTCTCCGAAGCCGCACGGTGGCTTCTCGGTGAGAGCGGGGGCTTCGGCGAAGCTCCGCGGCCTCCTGAGAAGGGCTGCACCCTGTCAGTCACCCCTGTTATGTTGCATCCTCGGGGGACCTTGTCTGTCCCGTCGCGGCCCTGTCCGCGTCGAATCCGTGTCGAATCCATGTCGGACGCGTCGGATCCGTGTCGAATCCGTGTCGAATCCGCGTCGAATCCACGCCAAATCCGCGTCGAGTCCGCATCGAGCACGCGTCGGGCCCCCAAAAAGACACCAATTTTTGGGACAGGCGAGGTCCCCCGAAGATGCAACAGAACCCCTGGGCTCGCCGCCGAGCTGAGGCGCGCATTAATCATTTGCCCAATTGCTCCGGACAGGAACACGGGCCACATGGGACCGCCCTCAGCGGAGGGCGGACCACGATTGGCACCACTGCAGGGAGAGGAGAGGTGTGCGACGACTGGCGGGAAGCTGAAACTGGACCCGGGTGGGGGGATTGAGAAATCAACACGCTGGACATTACGAAGAAGACTGCAGGGTAAGTCGGAGGTTGTCGGGGAGGCCTGAGGAAAAGGAGGTAAAACAGAGGGGGTTCTCGGCGGTGGGCTGTATTGATCATGACGCTAGGTGGTCAGTACAAGGGCATCCTGGCGCTCCAAAGGTCGGCAGCGGATTAACTCATGTACGTGAGGGCTGCGCACCTACCTAATGGACAAACTCCACTGGCAAGTTAATGTGCCGTTCTGGCTGGGAGGCATCCAGGGTAACCCACTTAGAAAAACGAATTGCCTCGGACACAGACCCAACGGGCTACAGACGATAACCTTCCAGGGCAACAGCAACAGTGGGTAGTAGAGAAGACTACTCCTCATGGCTAACCGCTCGTCTGCGATATCGATGCGGCAAAGTCGAGTGCAAGTCGCCGGCAACACAGAAAGATCCCACCATGACTTGTCGGTACCTGTGTGCGTGGTGCCCCCTGCCCTAATCAGTCCGAGATCTGCAAATAACAACAACCCGAGTGGAAACAGCAAAACGCCGCCCTACCCCCGCCCCCCCGCCCCGTGCCACTTCAATCGCCTCTAATGGGAGAGGCGGGCAGCACGTGGAAAGGAAGGTCGCATGGCACACCCGGAATGATTAGGACGTAAACTTCGGCCTAAGAACACACACTCTGCAAGTCTGGTTGTTTTAACGAACGGTCTAGGTCCAGATCCAGAAACACTACAGAACACTGCAGAACGTTGAGAAGGAGCCGTCTAGGAGCAGGCTGCTGAGAAGGAAAAACGGAAGGAAGGAGCAAGACACGAAACCACAAGTCCAAGAAAATCTCAAGTCTACCCCTGGACTCCAGGTGCTCTTATCCAAGCCGAGAAAGCACAGACCCTGATCCGGAAGTTTCCTTCTGAAAGAGTCTTACAGGCGTGGGGAGCGGAGGAGCGGGATAAGGGGCAGGGGGAGACGGGAAGGGGAGGAAGGAGGGGGAAGGGGGGGAGAGGGAGGAGAAAGGGAGGGGGGACGGCAAGTATGAGTATCGTTTCACCGATCCTCATCCCCAGAGGCGTGGCCTGGGCCAGTGATTTACCCCCCTAGATGGGGATATAGGTCGTTTCCTTCGGGTTTCGAGGGGTGTATCCCCAACTGGGGTGGTAATTTGGTGGGGGTCTTGAAGGGGATGGGGATGGGGATGGGGATCGGTCAAACGATACCGAGAGCAGGGGGGAGGGCGGCGGAGGGGACCAGGAGGGCGGGGGGGAGGCGAGGGGGGAGGGCGAGGGGCTCGGGGCTCCGACGGCTCTGCGGGCCCTCGGGGGGCGGGGTGGACGGGACCGTTCGCTTCTGCGGCGGGGCGAGGGGGGGGCCGTGGTCTCGCAGGCGTCAGATCTCCGGGGGGGAGGCGGGGGGAGCCAGGCCACCTCCTCGCGCCGTGAAGAGATCGCAGCGAGATGTGTTGGACGACTGTCGGCCTGCGGTCGGCGGCGGGCGAGGGGGGGGAAATGAGAGGGAGAAGGCCTTCTCAGATTGGCGGCGCGGCTTCCCGGAAGCCCCCCGCGCCTGCTGAAAGGGTTGCGGCGTCTTCGGGAAAGGCTGAGGAAACGTCTCAGGAGGCTGGGGAAGCCGAGCACTCTGAGAAGACCCGCCCCTTCTCACTTTCCCCCCCCCCGGGCTCGCCGCCAATCAGCAGAGCGAAACTGACGTCATGATGCGACAGGCTCAAGATACGTTCTACGCGTTACAAGGTATCTGGCGGCCCTCGTTTCTGGAGAGCGCAAGGAACAGCATAAAAACGAGCGGGAACTTTGACAAGATGGGAAAAATGTTTCTTTGATTGGGACTCGGTTTGCCCGCAAAGGACGCCTCAATGCATATAAGTTCAGTGCCTGCCGATGGAGCATCGCTCAATGCAGGTACTTGTAGCACACATTCCGCCCGAACATGTTGATTCCTAACTGAGGAAGGTCGCCAGCACCCTGCAGCGCGGTGAACACGGCCAACGCCAGCTGGAGCCCAGACACCCCCAGGCATCTCGGGCCGTACCATTACCACGACGCCTTCCCCGTCTGGCTGGCGCAGGGCAGGATCGGGGCAGGAAGGAGGGGCTCGGACGCGGGCATCGTGCAGGGCCGCGTGGGCGCGCGCATCGACGCCCGCACGGGCGCGATCCCGCCGACCGAGAACGGTCACGTGCAGCGGGCGGCATCGGGACCCCACCCCACTGCGGGCCCCCAGGGGGGGGAGCACGACGAGGACGGGGAGCAGGGCGAGGCCGGCCTGGCCCAGCCAGAGGAGGAGGCGGGAGGAGGATCGGGGCGGGATGAGAGAGGAAGGAGGGGAGGGCGGGGGGGACAAGCTTGGTGCACTCGCGTCATATCTGGCGTCCTACCCCTCCCTCCGCTCCCTTACCATGCGTAGATCTCCGATCCATTCGTACAATCGGATGTCGAAGCATGGCACGGCACTACATGGCATAGCATGGTGTTGAAAACTAACGCGGAGCATGACATAGCATGGCGTGGGGACGCTCCAAAGTGAGTGGGGGAGTTCTGCGGCCCAAAAAAAACAACGAATCGGCACCGAATGTGTAATCACTTCCGATGTCTTTTTCGGGGGGGATGTTTTAGATGTTGCGGCCATTTGGGGGGGACCGAAAACCATACCGTGGCATGGCGCTGGAAATAATGACGCAAGCGCTATAGCGGGATCACGACACGGAACGAGCGGAAGCGCGGAAATGAGGCCAGCGCTGCAGCGGGAGCACGATCGGGAACGAGCGGCAGCCCGAAAATGAGGCCAGCGCTTCAGCGAGAGTGAACAAAAACCCAAGCGCGGAAGCGCGAAAATGAGGACGCGTAGTCTGACATAGCATGGCGTGGCGACGCCCCAAGGTGGGGGGGGCTTCTGCGGCCCAAAAAATCAACGAGTCGGCACCGAATGTCTAATCCCTTCCGATGGTTTTTTCGGGGAGCGTTTTTTAGATTTTGGGGGCAGTTGGAAGGACCGAAAAACATGCCGTGGCATGGCGCTGGAACTAATGACGCCAGCGCTACGGCGGGTTCACGATCCAGAACGAGCGGAAGCGCGGAAATGAGGCCGGCGCTGCAGCGGGAGCACGATCGGGAACGAGCGGTAGCCCGATAATGAGGCCAGCGCTTCAGCGAGAGCAGCATTTCTTAACCAAAAAAACAAAATCCCAACTCCCAGGAATCCTGTGGAAAAAAATACGCGAAGGGGGGCCGAACATTTCCCGGACGCCACCAGGGAAGACAGGAGAGTAGTATTCAGATTGTTCAATTGTGAAGACGGAGGAGGAGAAGGGGGAGGAGAAGGGGGAGGAGGAGGAGGAGGAGGAGAAGGAGGAGGAGGAGGAGGAAGAGGAGGAGGAGGAGGGGGAGGAAGAGGAGGAGTAGGAGGAGGAGGACCAGGGGAAACCCAAGAGTCATCAAAGATGTTGGAATAAACCCTCCATCCAAGCTCCAACTTCATAGGCCCCTACGACGGTTCATTTCTACTGAGGGAGCTGCCTCGTTGGAAGACAACCGTTTGAAGACCCTGAAACATGCCCGACCAATGTTCTCGGGATTCCAACGCCACGGATCAACCTGACTGTTGCGTCTTGGCGATCTTGAATCTTGCCAGAACAACATTCCTGAGACTCAACACAGCGAATCAAAGTAACTGTTGCACCCTCAAAATCCTGAGTCCTTCCAAAAACACAATTAAACGCTGCAGCATGGGGACCAGTGAAACTCCTACATTTCTTTAAAAAGAATATGCGCGGCGCTAATGGGAGAGCCGCATTTTGAAAAGGAACCGCCCTCAATCCGTGAAACTCTTGCAGTCTTTGAAAATGAAAATGCGCGGCGCTAAGGCGAGAACCACACTTTGACAAGGAAGCGACCTCAATCCGTGAAACTCTTGCAATCCTTGAAAATGAACATGCGCGGCGCTAAGGCGAGAGCCACACTTTGAGCAGGAACCACCGCCCTCAATCCGTGAAACTCTTGCAAAGGTTTTAAGCAAATACGCGCGGCGCTAAGCCGAGAGCCATATTTTGAAAACCACCCGCCCTCAATCCGGGCAACTGGTCATTTTAAAGCTTCAGGGTCATACATGGTGAGGAAGTCTCATGCGAAACGCCCGGCACGCCCTAAAAAGTGGCCTCGGGGTGCGACAGGGAGAAATTAAGTATGAGGAGAAGCATGGAGGAGGAGGAGGAGGAGGAGGAGCAGGAGGAGGAGCAGGAGCAGGAGGAGGTAGGGATGATGAGGACAGCCCTGAAACTTGCAGCACGCCCCCACACTAGGCCGCCAGAGAGCCTCCAAACACCCCCCCGCCAATTACGGCGCCGGGGCTCTCTGGAACCCTCGGCCCCCTCACCGTTCCACTGCAGCTTTCCCTCACCAGATCGATCCTCGAGGACCCCGAGGCGCATGACCGGCTCCTGCGGGGCCCGCACTGCGCCAAGACGGCCGGGGTCGGGGGGGGGGGGGCGCGCCACAGCAATCTACGCACAGACACCCGCCGACGAGCTTTCCCAGTGCCTTCAGGGAGGGTGCCAGTGTATAAGATCGCTGGCCCTCAGCGGTGACAAACATACGCCGACACCCTCCCCTGAGGCCCAGGAAAGATCAACTGGAGGGCGCCTGCACATTCATTGCCCGATGATGCTGTGCCTGCGGGGTTCTTCCTTGCTTCTGCAGAACAGGTGGGTGCCCGGCCTGGCTGGGCGGCCTTCCTCGGGGTTGCCCGGTTGCCCAGCCTTCCTCGGGTTGTCCAGCTAGCTGGCCGTCGTCGGGTTGCCTGGCCATCCTCGGGTTGCCCGGCAGTGCCCAGTTGCACCGCGCAACCACGCAACCGGGCATTGCCAGGCAATGCCAAGCAACGCAGGATAATGTCGAGCAGTGCTAAGGCAGCGAAAAGCAATGCCAGGCAACGCCAAGCAATGGCAAGCGATGCCCTGCTAAACAAGGCAAAACACAACAATACCGCAATGCAAAGTAACGCCAACCGATGCGAAGCAACGCAACGCAACGCAGAACAACGCCTAGCAACGCAACAAGCAACGCAGAGAATCCCCAAGCAGAGCACAGCATTGCAAGGCTGTGCCCTCCTCGCCTGGTCACTTACTCCGGTCACTTGCCCCTGATTGGGGCCGCGCTGGGTCCACTTGTTTTTCCCAACCATCCTGTGGTGTTGGGTCCTCGTTTTGAAGAGACGGTGCCCCGCGTTCTCCTTCCTTCCTTCCTTCCTTCCTTCCTTCCTCCCGCTGCCTCCTCCCCCCTCCCATCATCATCATCATCATCATCATCAACACCCAATTCGGCACACCCCTCACACGTTTCGTGGCTCCATAGGGAGCTCCACCGAAGGCCCCAGTGCCCGCGGCCGCATGCGTCACCCACACCCATTTCGGCACACCCCTCACACGTTTCGTGGCTCCATAGGGAGCTCCACCGAAGGCCCCAGTGCCCGCGCCGCATGCGTCCATTTCGGCACACCTCCAACGGCACACCCCTCACACGTTTCGTGGCTCCATAGGGAGCTCCACCGAAGGCCCCAGTGCCCGCGGCCGCATGCGTCACCCACACCCATTTCGGCACACCCCTCACACGTTTCGTGGCTCCATAGGGAGCTCCACCGAAGGCCCCAGTGCCCGCGGCCGCATGCGTCCCCCACACCCATTTCGGCACACCCCTCACACGTTTCGTGGCTCCATAGGGAGCTCCACCGAAGGCCCCAGTGCCCGCGGCCGCATGCGTCCCCCACACCCATTTCGGCACACCCCTCACACGTTTCGTGGCTCCATAGGGAGCTCCACCGAAGGCCCCAGTGCCCGCGGCCGCATGCGTCCCCCACACCCATTTCGGCACACCCCTCACACGTTTCGTGGCTCCATAGGGAGCTCCACCGAAGGCCCCAGTGCCCGCCCGCATGCGTCCCCACACCCATTTCGGCACACCCCTCACACGTTTCGTGGCTCCATAGGGAGCTCCACCGAAGGCCCCAGTGCCGCATGCGCATGCCACCCACACCCATTTCGGCACACCCCTCACACGTTTCGTGGCTCCATAGGGAGCTCCACCGAAGGCCCCAGTGCCCGCGGCCGCATGCGTCACCCACACCCATTTCGGCACACCCCTCACACGTTTCGTGGCTCCATAGGGAGCTCCACCGAAGGCCCCAGTGCCCGCGGCCGCATGCGTCCCCCACACCCATTTCGGCACACCCCTCACACGTTTCGTGGCTCCATAGGGAGCTCCACCGAAGGCCCCAGTGCCCGCGGCCGCATGCGTCCCCCACACCCATTTCGGCACACCCCTCACACGTTTCGTGGCTCCATAGGGAGCTCCACCGAAGGCCCCAGTGCCCGCGGCCGCATGCGTCCCCCACACCCATTTCGGCACACCCCTCACACGTTTCGTGGCTCCATAGGGAGCTCCACCGAAGGCCCCAGTGCCCGCGGCCGCATGCGTCACCCACACCCATTTCGGCACACCCCTCACACGCTTCGAGGCTCCATAGGGAGCTCCACCGAAGGCCCCAGTGCCCGCGGCCGCATGCGTCACCCACACCCATTTCGGCACACCCCTCACACGTTTCGTGGCTCCATAGGGAGCTCCACCGAAGGCCTCAGTGCCGCCGCCCGCATGCGTCACCCCCACCCATTTCGGCACACCCCCCGCATTTCTCGCACGGCAGGGTCATCACCACGGTGGCGTGCCAGGGGCGCACCATGCGCGAAGGCGACGGGGCGGGGGAACGGCGCTCCGGGGGCGGCCAGACCTCCGGGGCGCGAGCAGTCCGCGGCCAGACCATCTCTCGGTCCTGTGGACTCTCGCCCTGGGCCGTCGGCTGCCCGGCGCGCTGCTCCCTCGGTCGACGTCGCCCAGGCGTGATCCTGGATTGCGGCCGCCACGAGGTAGGGAACGGCAAGAAGGAGGACGACGACTGGTGGCTGGAGCTCTACGCGCTGCTCTCGCGCGCCACGCGCCACGAGGACCTCCTGCTCATGCGGGCGCCGCGCATCGAGTTCTTCCTGGCAGGGCCGCCGCAGGGCTTGCGGAAGCAGCTGGAGCAGTTTGCGGCGCGCACGAAGCGGTGCAGGAGGGAAGCGACGGCCCTCGCCAGGGAGCTCGGCTTCACCGAGTTCATCCGCGAGGCCTGACCTGAGGAGCGTCTCCCCCGAGCCGCGCCTTCTCTCGACTGCCCGACTAATTGTTTGGCCTCGCGCCGCGGACGACCCGCGCGCGTCGCTGGGACCCTCTCGGGGCGACCAGCGCGCGTCGCGGGAACTCCGCGCTGCGGGGGGCCCGGCGCCTCGTTCGCCCGTCGTCGCTCTGCCCAGCGGTCAGAGACTTGCCCGCTATCAGCCAGCCAGTTAGCTAGTCAGCTCTCTCTGCTTCGCGCAGCGGACGACCCGCGCGCGTCGCTGGGACCCCGCCCGGGGCGACCAGCGCGCGTCGCGGGGACTCCGCGCTGCGCTGCGCCCGCAGCCTTGGATTTTGGAGTGCGCGGGCAAAGAGGAAGGAAAAGAAGAGCCGAAAGCGGGCGCGATCCTCGCAAGAGGCGTGCCGACATGGGCGTCGCGACGTGCGGACGCTGCCGTCGGGGTTCCCGCGGAAGCTGCCTGCGGCGGCCACGCCCAGTGTCACGTGTGTTCGGACAGGCATGCTCGACACTTACACTAGGCGTTTCCATGATCGCATTCATGCAAATATATTCACTCGCGCGCAGACCCATTCATACTCAGATTCCCTCGCGCTCTGACTCACCCGCGTTCTTTCTCTCGTAATCAGATCTATCGTATTCCTTTGCGTTGTGTACCCCGCCACATTTCGGCACACCCCTCATGCGGTTCGTGGCCCCATAGGGAGCGCCACCGAAGAAGATACTCACAATTGCGATACTCACAACTGCATATGGTTGGGTCCTTCGCCAGGATAATTTTTGCTGGGTTCCCCCGCCGCCACCGAGCGCCGCTACGACAGAAGAGTCCTGTCTACTCCCCGGGGCGACGGGGGCACCGAGGGCGGCGAGGAGGAAGACGCGGCCGAGGGGACAGCGACGACGACCCCCCGAGCCCAGGGGGGAAGCGGCCAGAGCCCTCGCCGCGCGCCGCCCGCCCGCGGCCCGCCCTCGCCGCCCGCTGCCCGCCCCCCACCGCCTCGCGGCGTGGCCGGCGGAGGCCGGGGCCCCTCTGGGCGGAGCGCCCCGCCGCCGAGCAGGCGCGGAGCAGGCGCGGGGCAGGCGTCCAGGGGCCCAAGGCCGCGGAGCCGCCGGCGACCGGCCCGCAGGGGCACGGCGGGCGCTCGGGCTGGGCGACCAGGGGGGGGACCCCCGGGGGG